CCTACCTACTTACTTACTTACTTACTTACTTACTTACTTACTTACTTAACTTACTTACTTACTTACTTACTTACTTACTTACTTACTTACTTACTTACTTACTTACTTACTTACTTACTTACGTACATACACACGTACGTGCATACATACGTACATACATACATACGATCCGAGAAGTCGCTGAACTCAAGTTTCTGCAAGCTCCGTGGTGGTGATAGCTTAGAATGACTTCCTGCCGTTTCTCCGAGGCATCCGGAGAAGATGCCTTTGTCTGCGGAGGCCTTGCAGAAATGGATGGACTGGGCTGCAGTGGCGCCTTGGCCCCGACCGTTACGTCTGCAGAAGGTTGGTCAGCCTGGAGCCACAGCAGAACCTCAGGACTTCTATGCCACGTCAAAACAGAAGGACGTCATAACGGCGGAGAGCTGCCAGGGCGATATCCCAGTGACGCAGAATCATGATGCTCAACCCGACTCAGGCGCTGCAGGGTTGTCATTTTGGTATATTTAATATTACATCATGTGCTATTTTATCATGTTCTATCATATTATATCATATTAGACCATGTAATATCACGTTGTATCATATCATATCATCTGGTATCTTAAAATATCATGCTACATCATATTGTATCAGATTGTATCATATTGAATGTGCGACTTGCCTCGTTTGGGTCCGATGTCTGACAAAGTTGATGCCTGAAGCAGCGATCTAGAGGCAGTACTCAAGGAAACGAAAATTATGCATTGGCCAGGCACGGGCCGAGGGAGGAACTGAACCGCAGGAATGAAGGAATGCATGGGTGCATTTGTTCGTTCACAACCGTGAAATGAGTCCAGGTCTGTGCTTGGATGTTGGCTTGAATGCAAAGTTCTGAGGAGGCATTCCGCAAGAGACAACGATGCTCATGGAAGGCCCGGACATGTCCGACGAGGCTGGAGATGCATTGTGTGTTGCACCTGGATGGTCACTTGGCCTTGGTACAGCCTCGACAGTGCTGCTTGCGCTTGGCTGACGTTCAGGAGATTCTGGCCAATGATGCAGGGCAGGAAATCTTCATCGAGAACCCAAGCAGGATTAATCAACTTTTAGTCATTTGCATTTGTTCATATTTGGGCAAGCTCCACGGTGGCACATCAGGAAAAGAACGGCTCCGTCTGCACAAGCAGACTTGGAGTTGACCAGACTGCTCGAAGTTGAGGAGCAGGCGGGCTGTATTCTCCTGCGAGTCTGAGCACTCATCTGGCTGCTTCCTGACACTGGCAGGATCATGCTGCTGCCATTGAACCTGATGCCTTTCGACAGCTTGCTGCAGAGGCACTGGCCCAGGCGGAGATTTCCAATACATAGGCCAAATGTTTACGTACGGGGCTGCCATTTTGCTGCCAGATCGGCTGGTCATGCAAGAGCATGCACCGCTTGCAATGGAAGCCTGCATTGCCTGCATTGCAGGGCAGTCGAAAATTCGAATCCGAGGGCACACTGAAGGTTGAGAGGGTGTGTAGTTGTTGCGACAGCCGCAGCAGTATCAACTTGTCGCAACCCCCAGGCGCTGTTGATGACGGTGATGATTCATCGGTACAGTGTGGCAAAGTCTTGCTCGTTGGTGTAGTAGCAATCCTGGTCGTGGCAGAAGCAGCTACGCCTTTCTTCTCTCATTTCGGAGGATGTGTAATGCTGGTACCATCGCGGTCTAAGCGAGTCTGCCCAGCCTCGGGTGAGTGTTCTTATCGAGCTGATTAGCTATCTCTGCAAGAAAATGCAAGACCCTGTAGTGACATGAAGCTGATCGAATCTTTTTGCGACCTCCGAGCTTCACCGGCATCCCTGGTCAGTCATTTCTGGAGATCCCATTGATCTCGGTGATTCGGTTTCCTGCACCACTCAACGCCGCATCTGGATGGCCTCGATCTTGAAACATTGATCAACTGCGTGTGGATATGTGTGGCCCTTCCTGTAGCTCTACCAACTAGAGGGCAGCACAGAGCAGATATCCCAGCTTATGCGACTTTTCCGGCGACATAGAAGAGAAGGGCGAGACACTGCAACTTTAGGAAGCAAGTAACAGGGACAGAACACACTTTGCGCAAGAGTCGGCACTGATGTCTCGCCTGATGTCTTCACATTGAAGCACCTGTGACCTGCACTTTCTTGCGTTTGACGGGAGCTTGTCCAGCCTTGATGGTGGTCTTTTCACGCGCCGCACTTTGCTTGCTGCCGATGTCACTCGTGGTGGTTGCCTACCGGCCACCGGCGAGACTCCGAGCCAAGAGGTCGAGAGCCAAGGTGGGGGGATGTGCGGAATAGGCCCGATGTCTACTTTAAATGCAGCCATTCTGATGCGAGGATGCATGGCAGACCTCGCCCTTGTGGTTTCTTCCCACTTCACCTTCTGACTGTACAAACATAGTTCTGGGCCAGGTATGGGTCGTACTGGGTGCAGAAGGGTTTGCTGGCCCTGCAGGGCCTTTCAGAGAGGCAGCGGCTGCAAAGTCCTGGAGCTTCCCGGTTCCAAGAGCTCTTACTTCGAGTCGTAGATTCGGTGCCCAGAAGCAACGAAGAAAGCTCCTCAGGTGATCTACGCTGCTGTGAATCAGACGGCCTCCATCTCTTCGTCTTTGCGAAGCCTCCTCCCTGCGTGGAGCGGCGAGTCCTTAGCGGAGCTCCTGGCCTTGGGCTACTGGGCCGCCTTAAGAGCCGAATAGGGTTTCATTTTGGGGGCATAGTATATAAACATTCCATGTCTACTTTAAGTTGGCTTTAAAGAAACTACTGACTGTCTGATGCCGCGCTCCACAGGCGTTGTTGGGGCTTTACGTGGCTTGCTGTTGACTGCTGTTGGCCAGGTGCCGTGTATTACATGCCCCCGGAGGGACACCGTTTCGAGCGGCTGGGCAGTACACTGCTTCCGGTGCAATGTGATCAGAGGCAATTGGTACAGGAGCCGGGTCTTGCGTAGTGATATCGCGGAAAGCTTGAACCTGCAGCTCTTGTCACAGGGCGGGGCCTGCAGGAGACGCTGGTGGAGCGTGGGGGGGAGCTGCGGGTGCACACTGAGCCAAAGCGATATCGCCGATGCTCTGCGGAAGGCCGCGATTGGGCCGACCGTTTGCTGTATGTCAGCCCGGAATATGTTGTCGTGGACAAGCCTGCCGGCGTGCCCTGCGCACCTCACGTTAGTAATGGTCGAGACTTGTACTAACAGGTCCGTTGCAGCACATGTCGATTCGGTGCTTGATGAAAGAGAAAGGTCTTGGTTGCGAGCAGTCCACGTAAAGGCAACATCTTGTAACGCTTGGCTTGGCCTTCTGAACTTCCATCGGAGCTAAGGGGAATGGCTTGTTCCTCTGGTTGCAGCAGCGCTTTCAATAGCTAGCCGGGAGTCGAGAGGCAAAAGCTCGGGAGGTGAAGACCTCGTTGCCTGCCAAAGGCTGGATGTGGCAACCTCGGGGTTAACTCTGCTTGCGAGAAGCAGGGAGGCTGCGGCGCGCTTCAGAAAGCTGCTCTGTGACGGACAAGTGACGAAGCGCTATCTCGCCGTCGTGAAAACGGGGGTGAAGGCGAAGACGGACGGGTTGTTGGAGCACTGGCTCTCGGATGCAGTCTTTGGCAGGCCTGCGCCGCGCCTTGTTGCTCCTTTGAGTGCTCCTGTGCAAGACAGCCGGCACAAGTGGAGGAATGCCCGGACGACAATTCTGTCAACAACATCGGTAGAGGATGGGTCGCAGGAGATGCTTCTGGATCTTGACACTGGCAGGACTCACCAGATTCGAGCGCAGCTCGCGTCAATGGGTGCGCCTGTTGTCAACGACGGCCTTTACAGCCACATGGCCAATTTCCTTTGGCGTGGACCGTGCGATGACGAGGTCGCAGAAAACCTGGTGCAAAGCGCAACTTCTTCGGAAGATGGTGATATTGGGTTGCAGTGCACCCAACTCAGCTTTGAGGATGTGCATGTCAGAGCCCCTGAGCCGTGGTGGCAAAAGTGCTTGTCTCGTTAAAACTGCTTTGTGTTAGGCAGG